GGTTATGAAGAATTAAAATTTGTAAATTAAATAAAATTGTAAATTACTTTTTTACCCACGAAGCACTTAGGAGTTCATATGAACTCGTTTAAACGTGTCCGTGCGTTCCAGATCGAATTGGAATTTGGAAGTGTTGGTTTTTGAGAAAAGGGGAAAACCGGAGTATCCAGAGAAAAACCTCTCGGAGCAAGGGAGAGAACCAACAACAAACTCAACCCACATATGGTGTCGACGCCGGGATTTGAACCCGAGGCACATTGATGGGAGGCGAGTGCTCTCACCACTGCGCGACCCTTGAATTAGCCGGGGTATTTGAACAAACCAGAAACAGGGAGATATTTTAAATAAATAATAATGGAATTTAATTTTTCCTTCTTGCTTACGTTTGCATCGTTTTGCCTCTGGGATCAGTCTGCCATCTACTTATCTTGTTATGAAATGTTCAAAGAACGAAAAATAGAATTAGTCAAAGAAGTGTAACATTCTTCCACAGAACACTGTTTAATGGAGAAAATCGCCCAGCATGAAAGCATTCATTGACGTACAGCTTTAGCACAAGAAACGAAACTCCAGTTCTCAACGACTCATATTCTTTTGTGAATAGTTTTATTTACAAATTGCAAATTTTCTAGGTTTGGTTCGTTTGGCTGGTGGTGGACCCAACTATGGCCGCGTTGAAGTTTTTCACCGCGGGCAATGGGGTACAGTGTGTGATGATTCTTGGGATATCAAAGATGCTGACGTGGTGTGCCGTCAGCTTGGTTTCCGCAGTGCGTCTTCGGCACCATGCTGCGCGCGATATGGTCAGGGAACTGACCCTATCTGGATGGATAACGTCGCATGTCATGGAGGGGAACATTCACTGCTTGACTGTGCGCATGCTGGATGGGGAAAAGAAAACTGTGGCCACGGCGAGGATACAAGCGTGGTCTGTAACACTTAGATCATCACTGCAAAAAATACTTCTACTTAATCGTATGCTTCCAGCCTGATGCACTAATAATGGCGAGTGTATACGTAGTATGTCTTCTTTCTTACATCCTGTTAATCAAATAAGAAAAGCCGTCATGTTGCCACCAAGCTTAAAACTGCGAGTGACAGAGAGGTTGTTTTCAGACTTGATAGCAATGAAACTGAAAGTTTCCTGGGCGGCTTCAAAACACGGTAGATTGTAAAGCAAAGTCTTACGTTCTGAAACATTTTGACTAAATCAACCACGGTGTTTTATTTCTTTCTCATTAACGGACGGTTAACCATTTTCCAAGATAAAAAATGTCAAAATAGATTACTTTTCATAACACGGTAAACCACCAAATAGTTTGTTAGCCAAAAGGAAAAGAAAAATTTTCGGCCTAAAAAGTTCACTTTCTAAACTACACACGTTCTCTGTTTTAACATGATAAACTTTATATTTTGTCCATTTTTATTTTATTTTTTATGAAGCTTTGAAATGGTTAACCGTCTGGCAGATAGTCCAAAATCACGTGACTAACAGGTAATAATTAGTTTCGCAAACTCGCATTCTCGGGAAATTTCTTTCAATAAAACTTGAGAAATATGGTCCGCACATCTTCTCATAGGGCTCGCAGATGATGCGTTGTTCGATGAGAAGATTATGCGTGGTTGAATGGTTGTGGATAGTCATATCAGTGGCGCTAAAGTGTGTGATATGCTTCTTTCAGTTTGTTGTCTATTCCATGCGAAATCGTGTCGTTTATCGGACCGCGAAAAAAGTAGTGTTTTGCTAAATAGTTCAGTTGTTATGTAGTCCTTAACCAGGCACTCTTTCGCTGCAGTTCACTAAACTGAACAATTTCTAGACTGAAATGGCACCGGTTTGAAAGTTCACGAAGTCAGATTACTGAATAAATGTTCTAAAATTGCCGTCATTTTAAATGTGGACTCGTTGGAATGTTTCTAGGGACCATTGACGTACTGCCCAAGTAGTAGAATGAGTTGATATTTTTGCTAACCCGGTTTTCAAACATCCAGGTATACTGATACAAACCAGTCCGTGTAAAACGCAGACTGCGGACTTGTACTGCGGACCAGGGGTAAAATGCAGAAATTGCAGACTGCAGACTAAGAGTAAAACGCAGGCCGGGGTAAAATGCAGATCGAGCATAAACTGTAGTCGTGGAAGGGTTTAAGGGCAAAAAAATCCCGCAAATACATGTAAACGAACACTTACTTGACAACATCTGCTTGCACAAATCCACTCCTTTCTTCTCTTGAACGTCGTCGACGACCAGAAAACATAATCGCAATCTTGAACCTTTTTTTCTGTCCGAGAGACTTCACGCTTCAACTTTAGATGCGAGGTTTCCGATATAGGAGACCAGGGACCGTGAACTGGTACAACACCACGAGGATTACGCTTAAATGAAAGCTGCTGACCCAGAATACTGTACAGGAAGAATTATGGCGATAAGAAAGGGAGTAAATCATTCCAACAACAAAGAAGGATGTTCTGCTGGAAATTTGGATGACCTTCTATGAAAGTGTTGCAAATCAAGGTACATACATACATACTTTATTGCTTAGCTCCCCCTTGGGGGCTCTTCCACCACACATACACGAATTAAAATAAAATAAAATAAAATAGACTAGAAAACCATTTAAATTTCGATGATAAAATAACGAATTTCTATAAATAATAATGATAGTAATAGAATATTAATTTTAAAGACTATTTACATTTCAATAATAAAAAAACTATCTATGAATTAAATAGATATTTAAAAATTCTCTTTTTAAAGGCTTTAAGATGTCCCGTGTCTCTTATATCTTAAGTTATACTGTTGTAAAGTTTTGCCCCACAGTAGGTGAAAGTCTTTTGGCCAGTGGCCAGTCTATACCGAGGCAACGTAAGGTCTTTGTTCTGTCTAGTGACTCTTTGCTGAGTCAGTTTATCCCTTTCGTTAAGCCATTTAAAAGACTTCAGGGCTTCTGAAACATGATCGTACTTTCTCAAACCAGCTACGATTCTGGAGGCATAGTTCTGAACTAGCTGAAGTTTTCTAACGTTCTTCTTGCTCGTGCTACTCCATACCGTCGAACAATAAAATAATTTGCTAAAAACGAAAGCATTTATAAGATAGATTAATGTTTTTTTATCTAAGAGATGCTTTATCCTATTAACTCTCGTTAGTTTAAACATACAGTCAGAGGCAGTTTTAGTGATATGTTCGTTAAAGTTAAGATGACAATCTATATATACTCCCAGGTCCTTTGCAACTGTTACAGGCTTGATTTGAGTTCCCAGCATTGTCGCACTTGGTAAGGGGGTAGGTAATGTCCTAATGAGTTGTGGGACGCCCACATAAAGAAGCTTTGTTTTGTCAGGGTTAATGAGCAGCGAATTTCTACAGCACCAAATCGATATTTCTTTAAGATCTTAGTTTACTGCAGAGATAGCGTCGTCAAGTTCGCTGGCGGGGAACCCAAGGAAGATCTTGGTGTGATCCACATAGCCGAGTGGTTCGCAATGTTTTGGAACTCGAAAGAGGTCGTTTATATACAATGTAAACAACACCGGGCCCATGATGGATCCCTGCGGTACCCCAACCGTATGCGGTAAGGGATCAGATACAGTATTCTGAAATTTAACGACTTGTTGATGTTGTGACAAATAGCTTTCGAACCAGGCAAACGCAGACTCAGATACACCAGCTTTGCGAAGTTTACGTAACATTAAATCGTGTCGAATGCTATCAAAAGCTTTGGACATGTCCAAAAGAACAATAACAGATATCTTCTTCTGATCCATGTTATTAAGCAATTCATCGGTTAAGTAAAGTAGCGCAGACTCGGTTGAGGGAAGTGTTCTATTTCCACTTTGCGGGTGATGTACGACATTGTTTAAATCGAGGAAATTGGTAAACTGCGAGTGAGCCGCTCTTTCGCATACTTTAGATAAAATAAGCAGTAGTGATATTGGCCTCGTGTTCGCAGGCTCTTCACTGTCCCCAGACTTAAGAATTGGAACGATTTCTGCTTTCTTCCATGGAAGTGGAAAAGTACTCAAAGTAAAGGAATTGTAGATAAGACTTGTTATAATGGGAGCGATAACTGGTGAGCTGTCTTTAAGGATTTTGGCGTTAACTTTATCACAACCGGGAGCTTTATTTGAAGGTAGACTCTTAATAATCTTATGCACATCGCCTTTGGTAAAGGGTTGAAATGCAAATAAGGGAGTATTGTTTGGACAGGAGTTGCGATCAGATTCGCACGGATCAAATCCCTCTGTGTCATGAATGTTAAAATTGTGTTCCTCCGCAAACTTCGTGGCTTTCAAAGCTGTCATTGTACCTACAGGAGAAGCGGATTTTCGACAGTGGCTAATGGAGTATTATTCTTCCTTGGAATGTATCGATTGATAATTTTCCAAATCGAATTGGTGTTACCATTCGATTTTAGAATTTCAGAGCGAACATGCTCTTTTTCGGCAAGCCTGATTTCACGTTTGACTTCCTGACGAAAATGGCGATACGCATTTCAGGTGTAATTTGTCGTTGGTCTTCATAGCCCTTTTGTGCCACATATCACGCGTGTTCATTAATCCTTTGATCTCCTTTGACACAAATGGGTTAGGTCTTGAATGAATCTTAATTTGTTTGATGGGAGAATGATTGTCCAAAACATTTGGAAAAGGCAGTTAAAGGCATGTACTTGGTCGTCAAGATCGTCAAAAAGATTAACTATATGGAAAGGAACGTTGGCCAGATCCTCAATAAAAGTATCATGGTCATAGTTTTTGTAACTTCTCGTGGTCACAAACGAAATCCTCGGTCTCGGTGTCTTTGATTTGAGTGTTAAGCTCACTAAACTGTGATCACTGATTGCAGACTGCATAATATTCTCGTTCGATATCAAAGCAACGTCTATAAGTGACTTGGATTCTTCAGTTACTCTTGTTGCAGACGAGTTGTGATAGACCAAAAGTCGAACAAAAATCGCTCAGAGCATGACCGTCAGGCTCACCTCCAACAAGATTACAGTTAAGATCTCCAAGAATTATCACGTTTGAGCCATGTGGCAGAGTCTACAAATGTTTCGCTTAAGTTTTCTAAGAAATCGATGGGAGCATCAGGCGGCCTGTAAACTGTAAAGAGAAGAAAAGATTTAAATTTCTTACACTGTACTAACAACCATAGTTGTTGAAAATTGCTTTCAGATACTGAGGACCATTTTTCAATGACGCAGGCCTTGTAGATGTCTTTAACATAGATGAGTACTCCACCGCCTCTCTTGTATGGTCCTCGATCTTGCCTGAAAGTCGTATATCCCAGAATAAGAATATCCGCGTCGCATACTGTACGGTTCAGCCACGACTCAGAGACTGTAAAGATATCGAAGTTGTTAGTGGTAGCTCTCCGTTTAAGAAGATAAAAATTTTCGCGCGACGCCACAGAGCGAACGTTGAGATGGGCGACGGACATGAGATGTTTTCGATTCTTTCTTGCTTAACATTGATTTATATGCATCTTATCGATTCTTTGTTGCTTCTGAGCTGGGCTGGGATTCAACTCTATATCGCCTCATTCAACTCTATATCGAGCAGTAAACTCGTGAAGCTTGGGCGAATGCCGAAGTGGTAGCGGCGCCATCTTGTGAAGTGATGATGAAGTTGACGGTCAAAACTCGCCGAACACCAAATAATCCTTATTTCCAGTTCCTTGATAACAGATAAACTGAAAATTGTGCGAATGACATTGGGGTTATGATTTTCGCTGACTGGATTCCATTTCTGCTTGAAAATGCAAGCTAAAATAATCTCCCACCATTTCATAGCCTGAGTGTCGGGTGTTTCTGGGGGAAAAGGGGAAAGATGGAAGCGAAAAAGGGAGAGAGCTGAAGGAGAGAAACGCCTGACACAGATGCTTTTACTGGAGCCTTCCACCCCCCACACAGCATGATTCGATACCACCCAATCAAACTCAGTTTCGGTCATTGGGTTGTCAGTTGTCAGCTTCACGTGTCAAAAAAGCTCGCCTAAAATAAATCTCACCTTACGGTCTGGCCGAGCTCCGGTGCATGTCTTGCTACGATTTCGCTTTTTTCTGAAACCTCCAATGAGGAGTTTTCGAATACTTGTAATGGAAAACCTGCCATTTTTGAGGAATTATAACGTGTTTTAGGAATCGTGCTAGTGCAAGATCGCGAACGCTCTGTTTGTAAATAATCGTGCGCCCGGAAAATTGTAAATTGTTTTTGTTTACAGAGTTACAACAGGCGCTCATTAATAAACAGGTTCCTGAGAGTCTGGCAGCTAAAAAGCTGATGTAGGTCAGGCCGAGCAGCGTCCCAGGGAAAGCGAAATATGATGACACCCGCTTGGGCTTAAGACATTTCAAAAGTGAAAAAAAATCTTGGAAGAGGAAGCGAACGAATCAGGAGTACCCAACGAACATTTTTCGCAAAATTGATTATACGATGTCGTAAACGCTAGCAAAGTGCTTTTACGTCAACCTATGTTAACATTTAACTTTCCTGGAAAAAAATACCCGCTCTTCACTGCTAGCCAGCAAGACTTTCAGAAAATAAAAATCCCAGCCAGCAATCATGTTTGACGGTTTTTTGTTAGCCAGCAAGGTTAAAAAAACAAAAATTACGCAATCCCAGCCAGAGTGAAACGGAATTCAGTGTTTGCCAGCCAGCGGTAGCAGAAGTAAGTTATGAGCCAGCCAGCAAAGTTTTATTTAACACATTGCCAAGAAAAACATGTAAGTCAGAAGGCAAGATCTGTTTTACGTCAAATTTACATAATATAAAAGAAAAGCGTGTTTAACCTGTTTCACCCTTTTATCTAGTTGTTTTTTTTTTTTTTTTGAGATATAGGGAAAAGATCAGTGTATTTGTTTAGTATATGTTATTCCCTATCCCTAAGTATTACATAACAATAACATAACAACTAAAGACATTCAGCGGTACTTACAGTTTTGGAATGTGGACTTGAGGAGTAGTCTTGAGTTTTTGCCAGGTAAACGATAAAAAGGAAGATCCCGAACTTTGTCCATAACACAATAACACGTAAAAAAAGTGATCACCGCTAAGCCTTAAGACCAATGCATTTTTTCCAACGATAATCGACTGAGGCGAAATAAAGTTTAAGAATAAACAACATAACGAGTAAGCTCGATCTATGTATGGTCTCCTCTGCAAAATCACCCCAAATTCAGTGTAGACACATGCTTATCGCCAGCATTGTATGCCGTGCCAGTACTGTTACTCCGCAAAAAGTTTACACCAGAACTGATAGAAAGTTTCGAGTAAACAGGCTTTCCGTCGGAAACTTCTAACCGCTACGGCTGAAAACCACGAACCCACAAAGTAAGGTAACGTTTGCGGTCTTTAACTCGAGTTTCAACGTGGGGAGGATGGTTTCCTCTTTCGTCATTTACGTAAACGCCTGACAGCAAACAAGGACCTTTCTGTTGCGGTATAAAAAAACAATACTGTCCATGTTTTCAAATATGCTATGGCAACAGTTTACTTTTTAAAGCCAGACTGATAAGGTGTTCTTGTAGTAACTTTCTCCACACTAGTAAGAGCTTGTCGTCCTGAGTTTGCTCTTACTCACTCATTTTTTCTGTAGCCAAGAAGCCATAATGGTATGTCGTCAGACAATCACCACAAAATTTTCGCAGCAAAAGCCAGTAGTCGTAGGTAGTCAGTCAGGGAATCACCGTAAAAGTTTCACACCAGAACTGGTGCAAAGTTTCGCAGCAAAAGCCAGTAGTCGTAGGTAGTCAGTCGGGCAATCACCGTAAAAGTTTCACACCAGAACTGGTGCAAAGTTTGGCAGTAAAAGCCAATAGTCGTATGTAAGTCAAGAATGTTTTGTTTTGTAGTCAGACAATCACCTATACGATAACCAGAAGAAAATAAAAATTCCAAAGAAAAATATCCTGTTCTTCACGACAAATGGTTACAAAAAGAACAACATAGTTGTCTATTAATTTGTTTATTCAATAGTCCAGTTTAAACCCTGCTTGCGGCAATTTTAGGAAAATGTGTAAATACTGTTCACATTTGTAATTTTCTTTCATTTTTTGGCAAGAAAATTGTAAACTATTTTTTATTCTTTTTTTCTACGTTGGCCAAAGAGCCTCTCAAACGTAACCATGGCCGGTAACGCCCGCTCCTACAGCCGGGAAACATCACCAAAAAAGTGTAATCAGAGTCACTGTGTTCGAAGATATGAATAAATTTGCTAACAGAGCTCTTACAATTTATACAATAAAAGGCTTTAAGAGCAAGAAATGCCTCAGCGTCAAAACAGATACTGGTATGAAAGTCAAAGAATGATAGGCGTTCGGGATTTACCCCGCTATACTACAATTTACAACACAGACGTTAGAATTGAAATGCAACGGCACACTTGGATGTTGCCTTTTTTAAAAACAACAGTTACTATAACGGACGCGAAATACGTCAATATACGGGTAGTACAAACGTAAAATCTTCCTACCTTTTCATTCCGATCCTAACAGATACCTGTGCAGTTGCTAAACGCCTTCCAAATGACCATAGATCGAGGTGGTTTCCCGTCCCGGTGAGCACATAACAAAAGAGAAATTGGTTCCAACGGAAATATTCCGGAGCGTGCAAACCTGGACAACATTGCAAACGAGCATACCGAATGAAATCAGTTCTGAGTTCACTCCGCTAAGAGACCAGAGAGTATTATTTATTGGAGAGAGTTTTTGTATTCAATCGTCTCAATAGTTGATTTCATTTAAGTGCATTAGCAAATGTTCTTAATTCGATACACATGCATGGCAAACCTGACAAAGAAACACAACCATTTTGCTTAACTTTTGGCCGCCTTAACATCAGGTTTAAAGTAGAACGTAGGCCAGTAGCTGATATGTAGACAGGAATATTAAAACACGAACACAGAAAAGTGTTTTCTATAAAGGATCGACAGCGAAACGACTAGACGTTTTGCTTACACACCCAAACAAATTTCTGTTTTCACAGTCAAAAGGTGTCATTTCCACAGCTCGCGTGGGGTGATTTTCACGCGCGCTTGCTTGCTTCGCCCGCTCTAATATCCATATAAAAAATTACAGTGCGATTGCCGGGAGAAAAAATATACCTTTTTATCCAGCCAGAACCGGCATAAATTTTTCATATTTTCAGCTAGCGGGGCGCTCATTCAGATTTCCAGCCAGCTAATTAGCCAATGTCTTTTTTCCAGCTAACTAAAATTCTGCCTGAAGAGCGGGTATTTTGTCGAGCGGCTCCGTCGGGTACTCCTGACGAATTCCAATCACGTACGCTATCGTAACTGGCACAAGCAAAGTCAAGCTAAAGCCTTGGTGCTGTCGGCTATTCTCAATACATGGCCACCTACGAGGCTTTGAAAACACAATTCTTGCTCGGGTTTTATTTTTATTACAGGAAAGAACTTGACAGTACCCTCTAGAGCCTTTTTAAATTCCTCTCTGCGTCTCCGTCCATAAAAGTACCAAATGAAATCAAAACATCAGTGAAAAATTTCAATGGCTTCTCCTTGCCGATCGCTCTGCTCGTATTTACTTGCGTTCGGTGACGTCAGGGGTTATTGTGTGTTTATGATCCAATCACTGCCACATCCAGATTTTGGATGTGTCACACGATTGTGTCAGGCAATCCCCTTCCCCCTCCCCCATCTAAAATCTCCTCTCCCCTAGCCCCTTAGGAAGGCCTGACACTCAGGCTAACCATTTCATCCACTCACTACTACAGACAGACTTCACAAATAATTGTTACACTTATTATTAGAGATATATCATGTTGGTTAGCTTTTATTAAGCAAATGCAACTGCATGTTAGCCTGCAGTCATTCACTATTGCCAGGAGCCCACTGCTATTACACATGATTTCCTTTTGACAATAATTACACTTGTTGGAGGGTCAAATGGGGTAAGTAAGGGACCGCTGCAACATTGGTTACCCTCCTTAACAACAGCAACCCCATTTAAATCCCAGAAGATTCTTTTTAAAGCCAGATCACTGGGTTTTTATTTACTCCAACCTTAGAGCCGGTGTTGAAACCCACCCTTCCCAGTTACACAGTGTACTCCATTTGTTTCCCGCCCTCCTATCCCTGACATCTTAAGGGCCCCCAAGCATCGCGAGGTTCGGCGATGGATGTATTTCTAGGACACATATCATAAAAGTAATACCTCAAAATACAGGTAACCGGTGCAGCGATTTCATAACAGCAGTTGTATGATCGAGCAAGAGTGACCACACGCGCAGCAGTGTTCAACACTAATTGCAGCTTATTTATCTGATCTTTAGGAATTCCAAACAAAATAACATTATAATAGTCAATCTTAGACTTAACAAAGGAGTGAACTGAAGTTTCAGCAGAGACTTGACCTAAGAATTTTCTGTTGCCTATGTTTCGAAGATGCGGTTGGGAGGTCTTGCTTATCATACTAATTTGTTTATCCATCGCTATATCATGCTATATCCTGGTCAAGTTGTATCACTCCCAAACTCCTTGCAAAGGGCTGGTGTCTAACAGTTTCAAATCCTACTTGAATGGAAGTGACCATTGGCCCTGATCAATACTTGGAGCTTATAACCAGCAGCTTTCTTTTATTCTCGTTAAGCTTCAGCTTGTTATTAGTCATCTATCTCTCAATATCCACGACACAGCGTTCAACCCTCGCCTCCTCCGCAGCTTCACTGTCCCTTAGAGAACGAGTGGGAGAATGGGGAGAGAACGGGGAGTGACAGTGATGCCTGTCCTAATAGACAGAGCTGAACAACGTCTGTGCATGTGCAGAGACAGGAGAGGTCTGAGCCTGGAGACTAGTATCGCTTGCAAAAGGATTTTCAAAACATCCTTACATTTTGGCGATTTTTAAGGTGGATTCTGAATATTTAAAGTTCCCATTTAAAGAGAAGGTAGATTATTTCATACTTTATTCAATTCTCGTTTCTACCTTTGTAATTTTTCTTCTACTTTTTTCTATGAACAAAAGCAGACGCACGAACGAAGCGTCCCTGCAAAAAGTAGTATCGTTTGCAAAAGGATTTTCAAAACATCCTCACATTTTCCCGATTTTTAAGGTGGTTTCTGAATATTCAAGGCTCCCGTTTAAACTAACGGTAGATTATTTCATACTTTATTGAATTCTCGTTTCCACCTTCGTAATTTTTCTTCCGTTTTTTTATATGAACAAAAGAAGATGCACGGACGAAGCCGAAAACGGTTCTTTCATTCGAATGTGTACATTTTCAAGCGTAAACAGAAATGAAAGTACAGACCATCAATATGTTATCAGTTCTAAGAAATCGCCCGGACATCATATCAGTAGTCTATCAGTGTCAACATTAGAGGAACATTTTATTTATCTTTGTTTTTCCTTGAATGATCGTCTTTTAGTTATTTCTCTGGTTATATCTCGCTTGGTTTCACTATAAGAACTGTAAGAACACAAAACAATCACTGAGGTTTCGAATTCAATTCTTTCTTCCAAACTTGTTTCCCTCTATGAAAAACTGTGACATTATCTTCTATAAGCCCAAACTTGAGTAAACATTGAAGATTTTTGGCGTTTTGGCTGAGTTTGTGCTTTGGGAGTCGTCTATTGTTTCTAGTCTGTCATGATACAGCATTCTTGTTCAGCAAGCGTGCAATGAGCGTGCAATGTTTTTCAATGACCATGAAATTCAGAATCCGTGTAGTTAGTTAATCAATTGTGGCCCTGAAAAAATTTGAAGGAAAAAAAAGTACGAATTTTTAAGAAAATGCTTTTTTCATGAGAAGGTCTCTTAAACGCTGACAAACGTCAACAAATAGCTAAAACTATAATTTCTATATGTTTGCTTTGCTCGAAATCGCGCGCATTTACAAGGCCCTAAAGCTTTTTGCTGACTTGCAAGGACCCATCTGTTATCACGATGCCCAAAACAAAGCGATGAATCTCATAGTTTATTAGATATAATCGTGTAAAGTTTGCTTATCATTTTCGCATAAATTATGACCTAACTTTGGAAACCGCTGAATTTCTCGCATTGGGTCTTTGCGATTTTGGTGAAACTCTGTTCAGCGCAAGGAACTAATGCGCACTATGTGTAGCCGAGAGATTTTCACGAAAAAATGCCTGCAACAGCAGATTTTCGACACAGACCTCAAAGGGGCGTGGCATTATAACCACGTGACATTTACTCCGATTGTCCATTCTATGTGTTAGACTTACGATAACAGTAAAGGTGGAGATACCAGAGAGCTTCAAAGTAGGATGGTACCCCCCCAAAAAAACTGGGTCGAGTCACCTTAAACTTTAGAAGTTTATTCATTAATAAGCTTAAAGGTGCAAATTAAATTTTAAACAAACTTAACCGAATAAATACTGATTCTACAGCTTGACCAGCGCCTCTAAGCCGGCTGGAGCTATATGTACAAAAAAGCTTCTTTGATCGCACTAAGATTTGTAACTAAGTTTATGACTTTCATGACTTCTTGTGTCTGATGTTATCATCGCGCTCAAAACCGGCTTTCTTGCCACCAACTGGATCAAACTGGCCGACATTTTTAGGGCCTGTTTACATGGAGTGGGGGACCCCGGTCTAGTGGGGTTGGTTTCTTTTGTTTTCACGCTCTGGAGGACACAAAACCAAAAGAAACTTACCCCATTAGACCGGGGTCCCCCACTCCATGTAAACAGGGTCTCAGATAATTTTCAATTTTAATGTGCTTCTATCTTTGTCTGTTTTATATGTTCCATCGTCGCTATTCGAACTGCCGACCAATAAATTCTGCACGGTATAATCGCATAATTTGTCAAACAGTAGAAAACACGTCATTTTTTGAGAAGCTGTCGTGCATATTGCACGCGTTGACGGAAGGTTACCAAGGTTACAAATCCAATTTCGGGTTTCACGTTCCTTTCGACCGAGAAATCTGGCAAATCTAGGATCAAAAATCCGTTTTTGGATTCGCCGAAAGGAACACACCCTCAGTCATCTTTCTGCAAACTTACCGACGATCTGCACCAAAACAATGAAAAACCTCGCTGGGACGGTAAAAAAAACTTTCCTTGACTCCTGGATTACACGTAACATTTCTTTCCATGAGTTGCATTTCTAACGTATTCGTGGAATTTCTCCTTCGTTGGCACTCACAAATACGAGTTTAACAGATGGTTGAAGATAAAATGGTATCAGATGCAAGAATTCCACTTTGCACGAGTGCTTCGCGCACTGGCTAGACAAGTAAACAAATGATGTCACGGACATGCGTAGAACGTTATTCAGCCCTGTCTGCCAAATATCGACAAGGTGATGACTTTCTGCGCATGTTGGCTCGCGCATACAAATCCGATTGGTGTACGGGATAGTGGGGGCATTTTGACAGACAAAAGCCGTTTACCTGGACCTCTTTACATCTTTTTTTTTTGCACTTGCGCTCATGAACGCTTATGTGTGTTGATCTAGCTGGCGATCGATTGCAAAAAACAAAACCAGCTTGTAAGTATATGTCTTGGTAGACAAATTACGAGCTGGTTTTGTGTCACACAAGGATAAAAGAATAAGCAAACTTTATAGAAAGCTACAAAAAAATTGTGTCATGTTGATGTTCTAGGCGATCGAATTATGCAAAACCAAAACGGGTGTCAATAAAACGCGGGGTCGGGCATTCTATCTTTTTTTAAAGAATGCTGTTTTAGGGTTAGGTTCAAGGTTATGGTTAGGGTTATGGTTAGGATTAGTGTCAACCCTAGCCCTAACGCTAACCCTACAACAGCATCCTTTATAAAAAAAAGATATACCCAATCCCGACCCTCGCGTTTTACAGACACACAACCACAACTAAACTTAGCAACATTAAAAAGTTAAGCTTATCATATAGATTTAGCCAACGCCAAAAGCGAAGCTCTCGTTAACATACTTATAGTTTACTCAAACAAAATATAAACTAGTGTAATGCTAAGCGGCGACGGAAACGAAAACGAAAAAAAAAAGACAATAGGACTAATAAGCAAAAAACAGCTTTGCACGTGCAGCACACTTTTTGTGTACATTTCTTTGCCGTTGTTTTGCACGACTACAACGTAAACCTTCCAGAAACTTCCTAGTTACACATTTTATGGAGGAAATTTCGTATGTGTTCGTGTTCACTGCCGCTCATTTTCACCTTGGTGGCCGCTAGCATTTCTAATTTTTTCACCGACGCTATAAAAGTTTCATGTTTTTCTTCCAGCGAAATTGGTCTCAAACAGAGCAAAAATTTCGAGTAAACAGTGCACAAAAGCAAGATTGCAGTACTTACGGAGGGCACTGAACTTGTAATGATTTGAAAACCCCCACTGGTCCACAAGGGTGAAGGACACGGTCCACACTTTTCGATTTTTGACATTTTTTTCTACCGTTCTCGTCCTCAGACTCATTACGGTCAGGGTAACCGGCGTTGCCTTCGGAGGAGGCTAGTTCAACCCTAGACCTGGACAGCCCTGCATCTACATCAGAGTTGGTCTTTAAGGTGTAATATTATTGTGTTTCGTCAGCATAGAAGTGGTACCATTGTAGATTATGAGACTTAATGATGTCGGTGTATTTTACTTAAAGTAGGGGGGCCAAGACCGACCCTTGAGGAACCCTACGTGTTACGGTACACGTAGTCGACTTACTGCCCTCGACTTGCACATAGTACTTACGAGATTTTAGATAGGACTGGAACTAAACGAGGGCCGTGCCACTGACATTGATATATAGCGCTAAACATAGCGGTATTTTCCTCTACAGAACCATATACATACTTGCATAGCCATACATGGCTACATAGTACATATACATAGTCCTATATGTACATAGGGCAGCCCTTCATGCCCACAGCCATACGCAACCATACATAGCCATAAATAGCCAACATAAGAATACACAGCCATTCACAGCCATAGCTGTAAGTGCCCAAACTACACAAAACCTTAGAAACATTGACGATGTAGGGAATGCACTTTGCTTTTGTTTTAGGATCTATTTTAAGAATTAAAG